CTCGAGACGATCCAAACGGGCACAGATATCAGAAGTGGAGGAGGTGGAAGCTCTAGACTGAGAAGATGATGGCTTAGCAGGATCAGATAAGGAGTCAGAAAGTTGCATACGGGAGAAAGAGACTCTATTAAAGTATTCCTTACCCAGATCAACTTTGGGTTCATTGGTGAGAGCAACACCGAAGTGTTGAAGAATGAGGGTGATGAAACTGCCAAAAGAAAGAAATTTGTGATGCTTGCATGCCATGTTCTTAAGAAAAACATTTGCCCAATTCACTTTTATTTTGGCAAAAATGGCATAAACAGCATTAACCTTATCAGGAGAAAAATGATCAAAGCTACCGGTTTTGGGAATGAGATTATGAGCAACAATACGAGCTATGATTTTAGCGGTGGGATTTAGTGATTTGTTGTTCATAGGATAGGTGCAACCGGGTTTAAACAAGATATCGTTCACAGCCTGATCGGTGTGATCGATAGACATAAGTTCAACGTCACTTGTTGGAATCTTAAGAATTCCCGCAAGCTTGTCGACAGAAAATGAAATCTGAATATTTTTAACAGATGTGGTGATGGTTTGGAGAGCATCAGCAGAAGATGATACAGATAAGTTTGTATAAAACAAATAAACGAGGAAAGGGTAATGAGGAACTTTACGTTCCACATCTAACAGTTTAGCCAACCCAACATCATGTAGAATCGTATGAGTGTCATACATAGCTAATTGATCATACTTGATATATCTAGTAGGCAGGATTTTCAGTTTGTACAGCTCCCTATATTTCTTAACTACGGTTTTAAACAGAAGATAATCCTCATAATGGGAGGCAATGGAGGATGAGAAACCAGACTCAGGCTTAGATCTTTTCTTAGGAGGCATTTTGACAGATATGATCAATTAGGGTTTTGAAAAGATATGAAATTTGACAGAAATTGAAAACCCTAAAAAAAAATAAAGCACAATATGTACAAATGAACAAACTCTAAACCAAAACCCTAGAATAGAAATATTGAAACTCTAGAGCAAGAAAATAAATTAAAAGGTGAGAGATTACCCAGCAAAATTCCAACACGAGATTTGATGAAAGGGTGGTCGCGGTCGACCGAAGAGAAGCTGCGGGCGACCGAAGGAAGAACTCTGATTTGGAGGGAAAATTTTCGAAATGAGGAAGAAGAGGAGGGTCGGGTTTTGAGATGAAGAAGGAGCTGTCTGGATCTGAGCATGACTGAGATCAATGGTGGAGAACAAGTCGGGTTCAGAAGAGAATATCCAATTGAAACCGAAACCCGATAACGAAATGAACAGAAACAGAAAAAATTTTCTTATGGTCGACCATGGCAGTCGACCGTAACAACTTCCAAAAACTTCGACGGTCGACCGTGGCGGTCGACCGCGACAAAAAATAAGAGCATAGGTAATTTTAATATTCTGGAATTTCAGAGAAATATAATTTGGACTTAGATAAAAATTTGTTTTATGTTTATTATACATATATAAGAATATATGAGAAGATCTTAGTTATTTAAATCATGAAAATATTTTATTTTAGCTTAATAAAAAACTAAATGCTTAATAAAAAACTAAATCATCATTACAATTCAAAACAACTATAAAACAACAAAACAAACAAAAAAAATCACAACGATAGTTTCAAAACTCATTTTGGTACCCAAATCATTTTGGTACCACTAAAATTTGGGACATGACCCCTATCATTTAAATCCAAGGCCCTAGGGTTATGAACCCGCTTTGGCGTATTTTGTGCACCGATACGGTCAAAACAAAAATCGTAAACATGACCCATACGATTGCAATTTATGCAATGTAGAGGTTTGAATGGTTTGCGTTGACGGAAATGAAATGCACGTGGTTCATTTGCAAAAGTAGATTTTTCTTTGTAATTATTTTGCAAACGAGAATTTCTTTTCAAATCGAAACAAAACATGGTCAAATAACCAAAACGACCACAATAATCACATTTGTACACATGAGCATGTTTATGATTTACACTATGTGTGTGTACATGTGTATGTGATGAAGAAGATTGATGGGATGCACAATCATGAATAGGCTTGTCAATTTTTGGTGCATTATGACAAAATTATGAAGAAGATTGATGGGATGCACAATCATGAATAGGCTTGTCAATTTTTGGTGCATTATGACAAAATTAAGCTAAATGGCATTTAAGACCGTAAATAAAACATTTGTAAATTTTGTCATACATATGTGCATAGTGAATATTCTTAGAAGAATTAACATTGAACTTTGCACATAAGTCCATAAGCTTTTTATTATTAGCAATACAAGTGTTTAGCGTTGAATCTAAGGTGGATATGCGTTTTCTCATTTGATTCAACTCATCATTGTGCATACAAGCATTGCTACTAGAAGTAGGATAAACAATATTTCTCATCATAGATTTTAACTTATCTACTTCTAACATAGCATCACATTTTTCATGAAGCAAACTATCATTTTCAATTCTCAATTTTTCATTGCATTCTTTAAGAATTATATTTTCATTTGTAATATAAAATTAAACTTAGTGGCTAGTGTTTCATGAGTGGATTTCATATTTATATACTTACTCTTTACATCAATATAGCAATTGTGTAATTTTTCAAACTCAAGAGCAAGTTCATCAAAAGTAATAATATCATTGTTATCAAGATTGCATACCTCACTAGGGTTATCACCTAGTGGTATTGTACATGGAGATGAGGCTTCCTTAGAGCTTAAAGCGCGATCTTCCAACGCTTTTTGAATAGCCTCCGAGTCTCCTTCATGTGCTTCAATAAATTTCCATAAGGCGTAAGCACTATCAAAATGAACAAATTTATTAGAAAACGATGAGTGAAAAGCATTAAGCAAATATTCTAACAAGAGCTTGTTCATGTTAAACAATCTTTTATCATTTTCACTCCATTTGGATTTTTCCAAAATGGGAACAACATAGGCATCCTCAATAATTTCCCATAAATCGAATTGTTTAGATTGAATAAAAAGTTTGAATCTAACACGCCATTGAGCATAGGGAAAAATATCCAAACGAGGAGCAATATTAATAGCATAACCTAGATTAGATGCATCATACATATCCATAATGATTATATGTAAGAAGCAAAAAGCAATCAACACTAGATTAGCACGAAAACAATAACTTGGATCTTTAACTCAAGGTGATTAGTCCTTAAATCAAAGAACACCAAGCTCTGATACCAATTGTTAGACCCTAGAGAGGGGTGATTAGGATCTTATGTTAATCTAATCCTGATTAAATGCCAATTAAAATAATATTGATTAATTTGTTTTTGCAAGAATGATATAAGATAGATATGAGCAAGAGAGATATGAATAAGCACAAATAAAAAGGAACGTTAAGCAAAACACAAACAAACGATATGTTTACAAGGTTTGGTCACCACGACCTACGTCCCCGCTCCTCACCTCGAGGAGATCTCCACTATCACAATCCGGTTTGGAAGCCGGAACTTCTACACACTCGATTTACAAGCTTACCGAAAACTCTCACACAACAAACACTATGCAATCACACTTTACACACTAAGTGTAGGAACCTAGCATGTGTCCTCCTCCTCAAGTGCTCGGATGCAACCTCTCCCTAGGTTCGTCAACCAACACCACTCCTATTGGATTTGACCACGCCTCACACTTCTCTCGGTGTACAAGTGTATTACAAGTGATTCTCACAATAAAAGGTAAATACAATGATTTGTTCTCAACAACAAATGAGAACACAAATGAAGCTCACACTCACTAAATCACACCCCACAACCCACACTATATAGTATGAAGATATTAAGCTCAATATGTGTGTGTGTGTGATAACAGTGAATGAAAATAATACAACTCAATAAATATAGCTAAATAAATGAAAATGAAATAGTAAGCTATATAAGGAAGAGTTTAGAAAATTTCTCAATAAACAAGAAGAGTAGTAGATGATGATTCCAATAGGAATTGAAAGCCACTTCTTGTTGTAGAAAACTTCTCTTGAAGTAGATTAACGAAAATTAGCTTAACAGCTCTTTAAACGCCTCTTAAACCTTTGTTAAAACTTCTTGTAAAAACAAAACTCTTGATTTTCTTAGTTACTGAAATAGAAGAGCAATGGGGTATTTATACCCACTCAAGAACTCAGCAAAAACTAACTTGAAAAGACCAAAAAGCCCCCAGAGAATTAGATCAGAAACTAACCGTTGGAATACAATCATGAGTTCGACGGTCGACCGCGAAGCACAAAAAGTCTGAGTTTGGAAATTAAAAGTTGACGGTCGACCGCGAAAGTCTCTGGATGGTTTCACGGTCGACCGTCATGGTCGACCGCGAGCACATAAAAACCATAGTAAGAAAAATTGTTGTTGGCGGTCGACCGTGGCGGTCGACCGCAAACTGATACAGGCATATGACAGGTTTTTGGACTGATTTTGAAAATACTTTAAAAATAGCAAATCAATTCCAAAAATAATAAAACTTTGGGAAAAGTTTCTAAATGATAAAATGAACATGTTAGAAAATAAATTTTTGGAAAAATAATTTTCGTTTGCAAAAACACACTGTTTTTGAAAAGTGTTTGTAAAACCTGTATTTTATTAATATGAAAATTTTGATATGACTTATAAACATGTATATATATATCATGCATATATTATATATATATAATAAAGTATGAATGATCTATAAATATGAAATAAAAGATATTGTAATAGCGTTTGATGAAAAATCATTTATATGATAGAAAACGTCAAAAATCGTGTTAAGTTTACATATATTGAGCTTGAATATAAACATATAATATATGTAAGTAAACTACTCCTATACCTAGGTAACTCCACACATATGAACTTAAATCTTTAACGCTTGATTGTCGTGTGTTGAAATACCTGTAAAGAGAAACATAAAAACAAAACTAGAGAATATATTAGCGATAAATTGTTTGACAAATCATCATCAAAACTATAGGGTCAACAGTTTATTCTAAAACATAGATAAGATTCAAGCTACTAGTGAAAAAGAGTCAATGTCCTATAAGGAGAAACTAAGGAACTAAATTTCTCATATAGTTAAACTAACACAAGATAGTGACACAAAGTCCACAAGTTTTACAGAGCCAAAAATCCAAAATAGAATGTGCAACATATTGTTGTTATTTGTGCAAGCCGAATGATGATTAATCTATCGTCGTTTAGAACTACCAAAACCGAAATATTTCTTGAAACTAAAGTTTATCATGCAAAATTGGGTATAAATCATTCCGTATCGATAACCATATGCTAATGCAAACATACGGATGCTGTTGCAAGAGGTGTTTCAAGAAAATTACAAAAAAGATCACTGATGGATTTTTCCAAACTCCTTCTTTAGGGTTCGGCGAACCTGCGCAGACAGGAAGATCTTATTCAAGAGAAAAAGGATAAGAAAAAGAGGACTTACATATTTATAAACATGCTAGCTTATGACCTCAGTATATGCAATAGCTGATAGATTCTCACAACTTTACCTGAGAGATGACTTCTTAATCAAGTAGATAAATTAAACAAAAATACTATGTGATCTAAATTTCGATATTGTCCCATTTTCTTTCCTAGTAGACCTTTAAGATCCTTACTGTAAGATTCTGATGATTCTACTAAAGTTACTGAATTATATGTCCAATGAAGAGAGAAACTATTTCTGTATTCATCTATTATGACTTAAAAAAAACTCTCCTTCCCACACTGCATAGACTTCTCATTTCTTCCCTTCCAAGAAAGTAAGAATTAAAATCAAAGTTTAGAGTTTAAAGTAGAATACAAGAAAACATCTTTGATAAGAAAAAGGAAACATAATGGGACTTCAAGGCCAACATGTTAGCAAGCAAAGAGACGAAGGAGGGGGAAGAGTGGGGGTGGGGGGCAATAAATCATTCATTGTAGAATAACTTACCAAAAGGGTATTAGATCCTTCAACAGTAAGAATATCCATTTTCAAGAAAGAAAGAAATGGAGACCAAAGGTGCATCTAGTTATAAAAAGGGACATTTGATATTGAGTTGGTGAAATCTGTCATAACTCCATACCAAAATTAGTGTACTAACTCAAAAGACAATTCCATCTCTTATGACTAACATATGCAAAATAAGAATTACCTTTTGCATAATGATACAAAAAGGGACAACGAAAGGTGCTAAGCACTTGTGTAGTTTGTCATGATGTTCAAAAGTTGATCACAAGGCATGAACTTAATTAAGACTCGGGCACGTGAATAACCAGTAAAAAAAGAACCTTACACATCCATCTCCAAAAAAGATATCAAATCTGCATATGTCATTTTTTTAATGAGCATAACTCACCTCTTTCAGAGGACGAGGAGGAAGAGAATCCTGCAACTGTCTGAGGGTGTTTATATAAGCCTCTCAAGAAGCACAACGGCTCGAGTAGGCAAATACTGGCCAAGTTTCATCCACAAACCTTTTAGCTGTAATATCAGATTCAGCAAGCGTTTAAGCCTACAACAACAAAACATAAAACTCGAGGATGGTTTTCCGAGTTCAAGCAAACATGCAAACTAATAAAAGAGAGAACAAATAGAATCAGGAGGGACTAATGAACCTTATAGTCCAAGTAGATCACCAAAGCAACGGCGAACACCTGTAGGCACCTTCTGTAAATGTTCGCCCAACCCATTAGAAGTCATAGGTTGTGTTCCTCGTGCAAAAGTATTGCTAGCAACAGTATTTCTGAATTACAGCATGAATATTCCACCAAAGCTCTAGTGGTTATGGACAAAATACCCAATTTAGCAGAAGAAAGAGTTAACTAATAAAATTTTTGCCAGTTCCTAATAAACCCTAACTCAACTCGTGAATTGAGAAAACGCAATTTTTTTAGGAGGGTGGTAATTTTGCAGTCCGAAACCAAACAAACATCTTAAGAACAAGAAAAAGGTGAAGATTTTGGAATAATGCTAGCAAAAATTTGAATGAGCTTGAGAGGTAGAGGACTTACAAGTCAGGTGTCCGGCGAAAATGAGGAGGAGAGGCCGCGAGATCCGATTTGGAGAGGAAGAACTAGGGTTTTTTTATTGGGATTCGGCGGCAAACTACAGGGTCAATGACAGCAGCAAACTTCAGGGCTAGATGGTGGCGGTGAACTCCGACGGAGGCGGCAAACTCCAATGCAGCAGCAAGTTCAAAGAAGGGGAAATTACCGATGGTGGTGGTTTTCTGATGAGAGAGAGAGAGAGAGAGAGAACGGGGGTTTTGGGGGGTTTTGGTGTTTTTTTTTCTCTTTTTTCGCGAAAATAAATGGTGGAAAATTTCCCTCCCTTATAGCTGTGTTTGGTTTGAGAGAAAGGGAGAGAAAGAAAAGTAAATTGAGAGAGAAAGTGGGTTTCTGTTGTTTGCTTTGAAAGAAAATAAAATGAAAAAAAAATTCCTATAGAAAAATCGGTATTGTTAGACCCTAGAGGGGGGTGATTAGGGTCTTATGCTAATCTAATCCGATTTTATGTCAATTAACAAGTTATCCTAGCAAGTATAAAATACAACAAGATATGTGAGCTAGGTTAAGTGATATACACAAGGGTAAACAAAATAAACAAGATAGTGGATGATATAAATAATGAGCAATGGATAATGACGATAAGAAATATAAACATAAGAGAAGTGCGCCAAAGCAAACTCAAACACACGATATGATCACGGAGTTCGGACCTTCAGTCCTACGTCTCCGTTCCCCACTCCCGTGAAGAAATCCACTATCACAACCAGGTTTTTTACGCTCACCCGAATAATGTTTACACCTCACAATATCGATTTTTAATGCTCACCGATCAACGTCCATACCTCACACTCGGTTTTCTACTTAACCGAAAACTTCACAATTCACACTCTCACAATGTCGGTTTTTAACGCTCACCGATCAAAGTCTACACATCACACTCAGTTTTCTAGCTCACCGAAAACTTTACAACACTAACAATGTAACAACAAAAGATTTATTCTCTAATACAAAGCGAGAACTCAATTAAGCACGACTCAATGTTACAATCTCTCACAACCCTAATATACTATGTATGTAAATACTAAAAGCTCAATGTGGGTGTGTGTAACAAAGAGATTAATCAAATCTTAAACTCAATATAAAACTAGCTTTAATAAAATGATAAACAAACAAATAGATATGAAGCTAGAAATAGAGTTTAGAAAACTTCTCAATGGATCAAGAGATTGAGGGAGGATGGTTGGATGCTCAAGCACCAATAGGATCTCCTCAAGCTCTTGTAAAATTAATTTCACAAACCCAAAACTCTCAATTGCTTTAAAACTTCTTAAACACTCTTTTAAACAAACACTAAACAAGTTTAAACCCTTGTTAAAATTTTTTAAAACATTCTCTTGGATTACCATGAGAACTGAGATCAATGGGGTATTTATAGCCTCCCAAAACCTCAGCCAAAAGCCCAACAGAAATGACCAAAAAACCTACAGAATCAGAAATCAGATTCTATACAAAATGATCGTTGGAGTGAACGGCGATCGACCGCGAGCCACTTTCGAGGCTCAGAAAATTCCAGAAACTTTGACGGTCGACCGTGAGAATTTTCGGCGAGCCACTTTCGAGGCTCAGAAAATTCCAGAAACTTTGACGGTCGACCGTGAGAATTTTCGAGCTGATGGTCGACCGTGACGGTCGACCGTGAAAATTGTTGTTGACTCCACAGCGAAAATCAAAGGTATGGTCGACCTTGGCGATCGACCGTAAACTGACATATGAGAAAACAGGTTTGAAAGTTGATTTTCTGATTTTAAAACCCTGGAAACAGGTTTGAAAGTTGATTTTCTGATTTTAAAACCCTGTTTAAAAATATCAAATAAATTCCAAAAAAATATAAAACTTTGGAAAATGATTATAGACATGATAATAAACATGCTACAAAGACTGGTTTTCAAAAAGGACCTCCCAAATAAAAAATATCATCATGATAATAAACATGCTACAAAGACTGGTTTTCAAAAAGGACCTCCCAAATAAAAAATATCATCATTTTACAAAATAGTCCAAAAGTAGTCCAAAACATGAAAATGTAAACATATGAATTTTGACATTTTGGCTAAACCATGTTTTAAAACAATATAAAATAATTTTGTAAACTTAATAGAAGATGTAAACTATTGTTATGAAGTCTATAAACAATGAATATAGTATTTTATCAAAATACACATATAATACACTAAAACATGATTTCATTGAACTAAATAAAATTGATATTGATGAAATCATATAAATGCATATAAGTATGAAACAAAAATATGTTTTCCAATTGTATTCAATTTTTTTATAGTAAAACTTGAAACCTATCAAACCAAAACATATATGTATATATATAACTATATATATACAAAACCAAAACGTGTATGTGTGTATATGATTGAGCTTAAAGTACTAACACACATAATATAAACATAAACTAAATATACCCAAGCTTGTGATCTTCAACAAAGCTCTATCTTGGTACACTCACGGATGAAGCTTGATCTTGAATCTTTAACTTGAATTGCAAGGCTTCACTCCACAATTCGGTCAACCTATATTATATATGATCGTGAATGCACAATTCCATCCATCCTCTAACTCCTTGTTTGCCTAGAATAAATACGAAAACACATACACTAGACAAACAACATTAAAAGTAAATTGTTTGTTAAATATCATCAGAACAAGAAGGCCAATAATCTCCCCATTTTTTATGATGACAAACAATTTACAAAAAGGATATATGCATAAAAAAATGAATATACAAAATATAATATATCATGTATATAAACAAGAAAGAATATACTCACAATATTTCTCTCCCTTTGACAACATCAAAAAGGTGAAGACAAAAGAATGAAGAGAGCGAAAGCTCCCCCTATCAATATGCATGAGTGAGTATAACACAAAAAATATATATAGGGATTTCTCCCCCTATCAAAATGTCATATGAATGTATGAAATGAATGCTAAGGCATACATATGTGAGAAAGCATAGATTAAAAACATGCTAAACATAACTCACATATAAAAAAAGATAATGAGAACACATATAAATATGTTAATATGAAAGAAGTGTCTTATTAACACAAAAAAATATAAAAGTCATATAAAAGAATAGATTTATGAAAACAAAAGAAGAGGAACATGAGAATCATGTAAAAAGTTTTCAAATGAAAACAAATCACTCAAGTGAAATCATAAATCAAATGAAATCCATAAAAACATAAAACCAAACCATCATTGATTTTCAAAAATTAAGAGAGGCAACTATATCTAGCTCTTGAGCTAGTATCAACTCATATAAATATTTTTAACACCCGGTAAACAAGATTTGGGAATAAACACCCAATAAACTCGGAGGGTTATATAAACACAAACCCCTCATCAAAACAAAACCAATAATCATGAAAACAAAAGAATTTGACCAATAAAAAGAATTGTTTTCATGTTCAAAAAGTTAAAGTATAATTTTCAAAACCAAGAAAAGGAAAAAAGAAAAACACTAAAATACTTGGTTTTAAAAATCAAATTTGTTTTGGTACCCAAGAATTCTTGGTACAAATAGATTTAGAGACATGACCCCTATCTTTTAAGCTCGAAGCCCTAGGGTTATGAAATCGCACATGTGGTACACTAACACGGTCAAAACAAAAATTACTCAAATGACCCTTCCAATTGCAATAAGTACAATGGAAAGAAAATATTTGCTTATGTTTTAATTTATTTTTGTGGACCATTAGCTCGTGCACGGGAATCATTTGCAAATAAAGATTTTTCTTTTAAATTATATCGCAAATGAGAAACATCATTAAACAAAGGTGGTTTACTTGAGAAATTTGGCAAGTTTGAATATTTTTTTAAATCATAACAAAACTTCACCAAATGGCCAAATCTACCACAAAATTCACATTTTAAAACATGTGGTCTACTAGAAACATTTGGCAAACTTGAATTCTTTTTCAAATCAAAGCAAAACTTTGCCAAATGGCCAAAACGACCATAATAATTACACTAATACACACTAGCATGCTTATGATGAACATTATGTGCATGTGCATGAGTGTGTAATGAAGAAGCTTGATGAGATGCACAAGGAACATTTGATTTTGTAGGTTTATGTGCATCATAGCAAAATTTGCACAAGGAACATTTGATTTTGTAGGTTTATGTGCATCATAGCAAAATTTAGACAAATGGCCTTTACGATCACAAATAGTGCATTTATAAACTTTGTTTATGTGCATCATAGCAAAATTTAGACAAATGGCCTTTACGATCACAAATAGTGCATTTATAAACTTTGCTATATATGTGTGCATAATGAGTAGATGATTTAGACTCAAATTTGGTACACATATTCATAAGCTTCTTATGATTATCAATACATGAAGTTAATGTTGAATCTAAATATGATATGCGATTTTTGACAAGATTCAACTCAACATTAGGCACGACATCATTGATAATAGAAGTAGAGCATGTATGGTTATCAAATTCATTTCTAATGCATTCTACTTCTAGCATGGCATCTTTATTTGCATGAGTTAAGCTAGCAATAGATGAGCTCAAAATTTTATTTTCCAAATTCAATATATCATTATTTTCTTTAAGTGTAACATTCTCTTTAGTAATGATATCAAATTTGGAACCTAGCAACTCATGATCGGATTTTAATTCATCATGCTTACTTTGTAAATCAATAAAATCTTTGTGCAATTTGTTATAGGCTTGTAATAAATTTTCACTAGCACAAGCAAGTTCATCACTAGATAAATCATTGATGGATTCGAACTCGCAAACATCACTAGGGCTATCGCCTAGTGGCCGTGTGCATGATGAAGCTCCAATATCACTTGAGGAAGAATCCTCCGAGCCATGTCGAATTTCCTCTAAGTTGCATTGATGTGCTTCTATGAATTTTCATAAATTGTAAGCACTATCAAAATGAACAAATTTGTTAGAAAAGGATGAGTCAAATGCATTAAGAAAATATTATAACGAAAGCTTGTTCATATTAAACATTCTTTTATCATTGTTACTCCACTTGGATTTTTTCAAAGTGGGTATAATATAAGCATCTTCAATAACTTCCCATAAATCGTATTATTTAGATCTAACAAATATGTTAAATCTAGAACACCATTGGTTATAGGGGAGATTATCTATTTTAGGAGCAACAATAGGATCATAGCCTAAACAAGATGCACAATGCATGTCCATAATAAGAAAATGTATGCAAGCAAGATACAAATAAAGTCAAAACAAGATTAGCATAAAAAGATAACTTGAATCTTTAACTCAAGGCGATTAGACCTTTAATCAAAGAGCACGCTCTGATACCAATTGTTAGACCTTAGAGGGGGGTGATTAGGGTCTTATGCTAATCT